TCGTCTAGGCTGGACAGGTGCTCACTTATCATTTTCTTGCCTATCTTAACTTGTGTTTCTATACTGTTTTTTATGGCACTATTTTTGATAGGTTGGTCTGTTTTTCCCCTTTGTGTAAAGACAGATGCAAAAAACTTGTCACCTTCTTACCACTTTCTTCCACTAATGGACCAATCGTTTCCTTCACTTTTTTCTTGTTTTTTACATGTTGAAAGAAGCTTTTTTTGTTATTTTTGACTTTGGTCGCAAGCCTTAGTTCATTTTGAGCCTTGGCTTTCCTCACTTCATTTTTGCAGGCTCGGGCTATTTGTTGATATTCTGATTTAGTTATGTGCCCCTCTTTCCACTTTCTATACTTGTCCTTTTTGTCTTTCAATTTGTCAGAGAGTTCTTTATGCAGCTATGCTGGTTTCTTTTGAGAGCTGTTATTTTTCCTCTTTGTTGGTATTGAGGTAGACTGGGCTTCTATAATCTTGCTTTTCAAAATTTCCCAAGCTTCTTGCGTTGTTTTTCCCTGGAGGATTCTCATCCATGGAATCTTTCCCAAGCCCTCTCTGAGTTTATTGAAATTAGCTCTCTTGAAGTCCAAGACTCTACTTTGATTATGTTCTATTGCTTGTGCTTCCATAATGTTGAATTCCAATATTGCATGATCACTACCTCCCAAGGTTCCTGTGGCTTCAACACTTTCTATCATTTCATCTCTGTTAGTGAGAATTAAATCCAAAATGGCTAATCCCCTAGTTCCCTTCTCTACTTTTTGGGAGACAAAGTTGTCTGCTAGGTTTGTCATTTTTCCTCTTAGTATCCCCCCCATGGTGTTTTAATCTTGTATTCTCTCTTCCATAGTTGCTTTCCATCCTTTTGCAATTCCACCTTTTCTTCATTCACAGATGAGATGCCGTTTCCCCCCCTTCATTTCTCCTCCAAGGAGCCTCTGTCAACTTTGATAACAGATGGAAATGCAGCCATTTTCTCTATTGTTTTTACAATTAGTTGCTGCTGGAAGGGGGAATAGGGATGAGAATCCAGCTAGTCATAA